GGAAACATAAACCCAAAAAAAAAGGAAAAAAAAAAGCAATTGAAAGCCATGAAACAATAGGAGAAGACGACATCCCCACGGGAAAATTTTTTGGGAAAATGGGGGGGTATGTAAAAAAAAAGAACCCGCCAGGAAAGTGCCCTTAAAGGGCAAAATCGCCGAAAGGGACCCGCAGGAGAAAGCAAAATTTAAGGGACATCCCGGCATACAAAGGGTGTATCCGACCGCGACAAAACCAAGCAAAAGGCAAAACTGAGAGAGATGGTACAAAGGCGAAAGGAGGAAAGAGAGGGGATGGAGAAGACAGACGGGAACCCCAGACACAGGAAGATCAAAACACCCCCCTACAACCCTCCTATGAACCTCCCAACCGGTCACCCCATGAAAACCAAACATCTAAACCAAAAACCCCCATGCCACACCCCAAGCCCCCACCCACTGCATTACAAACTCCACCCCCACAGCAACCACCCATAGTTCCTTATCAGGTCCCCCACTTCCCCAACCCCCAAATACACCCCCAGCCACAATCTTAGAAAAGAAGTTAAAGGGTGTTTTATAAAAATGCGATAAAATAACAAATAAGTATGAGAGTGGCCGAAAGTAAAGGGAGACACCCCCAGCAAATAGCACTCACAGAAAACAAACTCACCAAATAATAAAGTTTTAAATCTTTCCCCACCGGATATAAAAATCCTCGGGAAAGACGAGGGAGGAGAGGGGGAGGAGGATTGCATTTTCTCTTTAAAACCAGTGGGGTTTGAGAAAATGGAAGGAATGGATGGCAGGGGCGAAAGGATACTTAGTGGGAACAACCCCGTCTGAAAGACATAAGGTGATAATTGAGTAATGTACAACCCACCAAAAAACTGCAGGAGGCCAAGAGAAGAATACGATAGAGCAACAGAGCAATGGTCGACCACCAGCCGAGGTGGCCAGGAGAGCACACAGGGGGGAAGCAAAGTTACTATTATGGGTGATTTTTAAACACAAGGAGATTGACTGGGAAAAACCTGGGGCCCCATGGGGGGCCCCAAAAAAGGAGGCCAAGATGAGGGTTGGTACTGGAAAACCTCATGCTCAACATGTTAGGACCTACCAAGAGGAGGGGGATGAACCACAAAACTGGGCCCTTTTATTCACCTTGAATATTCTGCATCGGGGATATATTAGAAAGCCCCTGGGAGCAGGATCATGTGGTCTGGCTTCGACTAATAGTTTGCTCCAATGGGGAGAGCAGCAGGGAAAAGGGGGGGGAAAAACCAAAATACAAAAAGGGGGGGGTACTCAGGCTTTAGGAACTTCTTTCGAGACATTCAGGGGAGAGGGAACTGACAGGAAAATCAGTACAAGAAATTATGGGGCTATGTGGCAACAAAATGCAAGGGGGCAAAGGGGAAGTTTTTTCCCAAGGAAACAAATAATGGGAAGAACAGAACGAGTCCTTGGTCACCCAAAGGTGTGGGGGGGCAAAAAATAGGTGTACTAGAGAATGGAAAGGTACAGAAAACAGAAACTCGGAAAAAAAAGATTAGCCGAAGAGCCGAAAAAATATGCACAGAAAAGAAGGGAGGCCACGGCAATCGAAAATGACATAGCACGAAAGTCAAGACTGACCCGAAGCTGTTGTACAGCCACATCAGGGGGAAAAAAACAGTCAAGACCAGGTAATCAGAAGGAAAGGGGGATGGGGAATTTACAAAACACCGGGGGTATGTCAGGAGCTCAACACAAGATTTAAAGAAGTATTTCAGTGGAAACCAGTAGGACTCCGGAAAACGGCAGGGGGGGGGCACCACAAATGCTGGATGAGGTACACAAAAACCAGGAGGGGGTGAAGAAGCTTTTATGCAACATGACACCTCAAAGGCTGGGGCCAGACTCTTTTCCCGGGTCCTAAAGAGGGGGCAAGACATTGTTGACCATTAAGAAAGACTTCAAAACATCATTTGAAACTGGGGAACTCCCCTGAGGTAGGAAGATGGGAAAAGTAGTCCCTTTTTTTTAAAAAAGGGGGACAGACATGAGGCATAAAAAAACAGACCTTATCCTAACGTTAAGTATGCAAGGTCATGGGGAAAAACATCAGGGGAGATGGTGGGGGACCCGGGAAAAAAACAATGTATAATTTTTCAACCACTGGTTTCAGGAGGAAAAATCCTGTGTACAAACCCATTTGGGTTTTTTGACAAAGGGGATGAAGTAAGACAAAAGAGAGAGGGGGGGATCGACGCATTTTTTTTTGGGCGCAAGAAGGCTTCGACACAGTTTTCCCCACAAGGGTTACGCAAACTAGAGGGCGGCACACTAACAGGAAAAGGGACGAAGGGTAAAGAATACCTTAAGGGAGGCAACAAAGTCTGGTACGTGACGACGTGTCAAAGTGGGGTGCCTGTGACAACGGGTTTCCCCAGGGTCACCTAGGCCTGGCGTTCTTTTGGGATATTAATGCAAACGGAAGGGAAGACTCAGAAGGTCCTTGTTTGCAGACGATGTGAAGTTAATGAAAGAATCAAATCGGATGAGGGTCAGGGGAGGACTACAAAGAGACCTGGAAGGCTCAAGCCCGGTCCAGCAACTGGCTCCTTTAGTTTTTAAAACCCCGCCAAATGCAAAATCATGAAGATTGGGGAAGGCAAAGAAAAACCCCAGACACAATATAGTTTGATAGCAAAGTCTCAAACCCCACTCAAGGAAAAAGATCTGGGGTGATATAACACCGAGCAATCTCCTGAGGACACATCAATCAGAAAACTGCTGCAGCTCGGGGGCCTGGCAAACCCACGGGTAGCTTCCGATACCTCATAAGGGTTCTTTAAAACTCTGTACACCACACGTCAGGGGCCCAAAGGAGTATGCGCACCATTTTGGAAAACCACACCTAGTCAAACACGTCAAGAAATTAGAGAAAGTGCAAAGGTTTGCAACAAGACTAGTGCCAGAGCTACGGGGATTGTCCTACGAAGAAAGGTTGAGGGAAATCGGCCTGACGACACTGGAGGCCAGGAGGGTCAGGGGAGACATGATAACGACATATAAAATACTGCGCGGAATAGACGAGGTGGACAAAGACGGGATGTTCCAGAGATGGGACACAGACACAAGAGGTCACAATTGGAAGTTGAAGACTCAGATGAATCAAAGGGATGTTAGGAAGTATTTCTTCAGTCATAGAGTAGTCAAGCCGTGGAATAGCCTAGAAGGTGACGTAGTGGAGGCGGGAACCATACATAGTTTTAAGGCGAGGTATGATAAAGCTCATGGAGCAGGGAGAGAGAGGACCTAGTAGCAATCAGTGAAGAGGCGGGACCAGGAGCTATGAATCGATCCCTGCAACCACAAATAGGTGAGTACACACACACACACACGTGGTGCGTGGCGAGGTGTCAGAGTGGGCACCTGTGACCAGCGGGGTCCCACAGGGGTCAGTCCTAGGACCAGTGCTGTTTCTGGTATTTGTGAACGACATGACGGAAGGAATAGATTCTGAGGTGTCCCTGTTTGCAGATGACGTGAAGTTGATGAGAAGAATTCACTCGATCGAAGACCAGGCAGAACTACAAAGGGATCTGGACAGGCTGCAGACCTGGTCCAGCAATTGGCTCCTGGAGTTCAATCCCACCAAGTGCAAAGTCATTAAGATTGGGAAGGGCAAAGAAGACCGCAGACGGAGTACAGTCTAGGGGGCCAGAGACTACAAACCTCACTCAAGGAAAAAGATCTTGGGGTGAGTATAACACCAGGCACATCTCCTGAAGCGCACATCAGCCAAATAACTGCTGCAGCATATGGGCGCCTAGCAAACCTCAGAACAGCATTCCGACATCTTAATAAGGAATCATTCAGGACCCTGTACACCGTGTACGTTAGGCCCATATTGGAGTATGTGGCACCAGTTTGGAACCCACACCTAGCTAAGCATGTAAAGAAACTAGAGAAAGTGCAAAGGTTTGCAACAAGACTAGTCCCAGAGCTAAGAGGTATGTCCTACGAGGAGAGGTTAAGGGAAATCAACCTGACGACACTGGAGGACAGGAGAGATAGGGGGGACATGATAACGACATACAAAGTACTGAGAGGAATTGACAAGGTGGACAAAGACAGGATGTTCCAGAGATTGGACACAGTAACAAGGGGACACAGTTGGAAGTTGAAGACACAGATGAATCACAGGGATGTTAGGAAGTATTTCTTCAGCCACAGAGTAGTCAGTAAGTGGAATAGTTTGGGAAGCGATGTAGTGGAGGCAGGAGCCATACATAGCTTTAAGCAGAGGTATGATAAAGCTCACGGCTCAGGGAGAGTGACCTAGTAGCGATCAGTGAAGAGGCGGGGCCAGGAGCTCGGACTCGACCCCCGCAACCTCAACTAGGTGAGTACAACTAGGTGAGTACACACACACACACACACACACACACATACACACACACACACACACACACACACACACACAAATTACCTTAAAATCAATTGCTCTTCTAATTGTATTATCAGCGTCAATTTTCCACAGTGGCAGTGTTCCTCTCGCCTCACTGGAGCAAGTGGCTGCCCTCAAGCACACATACCACTTAAGAACTCACTACTGATACAAAAAATTTTATCTACATTCTTATCAAAACATCTTATCTAGCAATGATAAATATTGCGAATATTTCTTTTATCATTATTGAAATTACGATTACTGCTAATTAGAGGTGACACAGCACTTACAATATTTAAATCAAGAGCCCTTACCAGCATCAAGACACCTCCTCCTCCTCCTCCTTAAATTACTGATGGTCCGTTAATGTAGGAGACTGATAGGCTTATCATGTTAACAAGTGTCTTATCAACTTCCTCTAAAAAAAATTTTTCACTTGAATGGGGCCATTGTAGTGAAAACTTTTATATTTTATACATTTTATATTTGTTTTGCACATTTTTGCGAGCAAAGACAAAAAAAAAATCAGTCTTATTAATAAATATAAATGAATGATCAAAATTTAAATGAACGAATAAGCTTGATTTGGATCCATTTTGTAATTATCAAGATATGATTCAGAACAAAAGAGAAATGTGATAATTATGGTGATATAATGCAGTGTTTACACTGAGAAATAATATATAATGAATCAAAATGTCATATATAAGCCAGTCAATGGCTTCTTCATTCCATTTCAAGAATGGTGGAAGGTGAGGAGAATTCTGAAGTAATCAGTCCCCCCAGCTTGGACTCGATATTTTCAGTCCTTCAGTCTTAAGAAAAGTTAGACTGATGGACTGAACAGGTCGACTCCAGGCTGAGGGACTGACTTCCTTAATCTCCATCTCAATTTCTATCCTTCTTTGGCTAAGAAATATTTCGTCCGTTATTCTCCCATATAGATATTATTTTTCTTTTGAAAGTTAGTGTCCCATCTCTGCCTCTTCCCCTTATTAATGGTCATTTTCGTGAAGGGAATTTATACTGTTAATTGGGAATCGGTTCGTTTAAACAGAAGAGTTCTCTAAAAGTATATATAAAGGGATTACCAATAGACCCGTGGGGGTCTTCAAGGGGGAGCTGGACCTACAGTCAGTACCTGACCAGCCGGGCTGTAGTTCGTACGCTGGTTTCCATGCAGCCAGCAATAACAGCTTAGCTAATCAGGCTCTGATCCACCAGAAGGCCTGGTCATGGACCGGGCCGAGAGGGGCACTGACCCCAGGAACACCCTCCAGGTATACATTACTGCAGCTGGAACAATTCTCAGTTAACCCACAATATGGAGTGGAAGCTTTAGACGATATTTCAGTCTTCTAAGGAATATTATCAAGTCATAACAGACTTAATTATTATCATTAAATTCATAAAGAAGCGCCAAATTCGTATGGGTCACAGCACAAGTGACTTGTTAAAGCCACTTGATAAAGTGGTTCATTCAACATTATGCTCCATCTCCAAATTTTGGGTTAGTTGATAAAATGTTTCAATAATTAAGGGTCTATTCGACGCAGGACGCCCGTCTGAACTCTGTTCACATTGTGGCCATCTCGCTCCAACGAGTACGGGTCGTTTTTGTCGTCAGTGGGAGACGACCACCTTGAGCAGCGGGGAACTTCCTTGCCATCCTCACACTTCCGGCTGGGGGACGACCACCTTGAGCAGCGGGGAACTTCCTTGCTATCCTCACACTGCCGACTGGGGGACGACCACCTGGGACGACGGGGAACTTCCTTGCCATCCTCACACTGCCGGCTGTCACAAACTGTCTCAGGTGCGCTATAATAGGGGCTGAAGGGACGCGAGTCGGTCCAGTACGAAGTCTTACTACCCTTGGGGTTTACACAAGGTCTGTTGTCTCTGGGAAGACTGTAAGAGGCACAAGAAGATCTGAAGCCACAAACATCGACGGCGCTCCTGACCCTTGGAATAGAGCCAATGACGGGTCTTGCTGGTGTGTCAGTGAAGGCTGGGTTGTCATGACCACCCTCCAGGAAGCTACTCACTGGAATGCACTCTCCCCGGATCTCCTGAGAATCAAAACATACTATCATATGATGAAAATTAGACACACGTACAACATCTGGGTATGTTTATGGTAGACGTTTCGCCAACCAGTGGCTTTATCAATACAAATTCAAGGACATAATGGGAAGACAGTAGAACTATATACAAAAGATGAGGTAATCAGTCCCTCAGTCTTGGAGTTGGTGAAGATCACCGTAGTCTTGAAGAGTCTGTACACACTATTATATAGATGAATAAGACACATGTGCAACAGTTGGAAGCCTTTGGAAATGCAAGGTATAAAATACTGACACGATGGAAAAATAGGCACAAATGCAGCAGCCCGGTAGACTCGTCTTCAGTTTCAGTCTTGAAAAATATTTTATTTCTCAGCAATATTTCTTATACTGGCTGATGGAAGGTTGAAAACAAGTGGGTATGGTTGATGGTTGTTGGTGGTGGAGTGTTTGTCGCTACTGTTTGTCACTATTGTTTATGACTTGATAAAGCCCATTGTGTGGGTGAAACGTAGTCAGTAAAGGCTCGCATTATACTGCATTTGTGTATATTTTACCAGTAGATATCTTTATTATCGAAACGTTTCGCCTACTCAGCAGACTCCGTCAGTCGAATATATAAGTGACTTAAATATTAAACACAGCAGAGGCAATGAAGATATCTTTATAAGCTAAATTAATTTCTTCAAGACTGAAGTATTCTTCAAGACTGAGGGACTGATCACTACATAATTTAACTCTTCACTCTCTCCAGTATTTAAGTCACCTATGCATTCGACTGAAGAATCCTGCTGAGCAAGCGAAATATCTCACTCATCTACTGGACGCCATGAAAATAATGAGGCCTTTATTTATAAAGTTTGTTATGCATTATTAAAATGAAAGAGACACTGGACAGAGAAATAGCAAGCATCGAACTTAAGCTAAAGGAATCTTATAGGAGTCAGGAATCGCGGGAAGAACTAAAAGCCATAAATGAAATCGAAAGAAACCCAAAGTATTTCTTCTCCTATGCCAAATCAAAATCGAGAACAACGCCCAGTATTGGGCCCCTACTTAAACAAGATGGGTCCTACACAGATGACAGCAAGGAAATGAGTGAGCTACTCAAGTCTCAATATGACTCAGTTTTTAGCAAGCCGCTAACCAGACTGAGAGTCGAAGATCAAAATTAATTTTTTATGAGAGAGCCACAGAATTTGGTTAACACAAGTCTATCCGATGTTATCCTGACGCCAAATGACTTCGAACAGGCGATAAATGGCATGCCTATGCACTCTGCGCCAGGGCCAGACTCATGGAACTCCGTGTTCATCAAGAACTGCAAGAAGCCCCTATCACGACCCTTTTCCATCCTATGGAGAGGGAGCATGGACACGGGGGTCGTCCCACAGTTACTAAAAACAACAGACATAGCCTCACTCCACACTCCACAAAGGGGGCAGTAAAGCAACAGCAAAGAACTACAGACCGACAGACGGCTCAAAACATACTCAACCCCTGCCAATTTGGATTCAGGAAAAATAAAAGCACTAATGATGCAATCATAAAAATGCTAGATCTGCTTTACACAGCATTGGAAAATAAGGAATATCCACTAGGAATTTTTATTGACTTAAGAAAAGCTTTTGACACAGTAGACCACGACATCCTACTCCACAAACTTGACCACTACGGTATAAGAGGCCATGCGCTTGCTTATTTCAAATCTTACATTACTAATAGGTATCAGTATGTCACCATTAAAGACACAGCATCAGCAACACGGCCACTTGATACTGGAGTTTCCGCAGGGAAGTGTCCCTTGGTTCCCTGCTCTTCCTCATATACATCAATGACCTTCCAAACGTATCCCAACACCTGAAACCCATTCTCTTTGCTGACGACACGACTTATGTCATCTCTCACCCTAATCTTGCCACCCTCAACACCATTGTGAATGAGGAGCTGATCAAAATATCGACTTGGATGACAGCCAATAAACTTACGCTTAACACTGACAAAACCTACTATATTATGTTTGGTAGCAGAGCAGGAGATGCACAAATTAACATTAAGATTGACAACACTCTAATTACCAGAAATAATGGGGCAAATTCCTAGGCTTATACCTTGACAACAACCTGAATTTCAGCACCCATATCCAGCATATAACCAAAAAAGTATCCAAAACGGTTGGGATCCTCTCCAAGATACGATACTACGTGCCGCAAAATGCCCTTCTCACACTATACCACTCACTTATTTATCCATACCTCACCTATGCTATTTGTGCTTGGGGATCAACTGCAGCAACACACCTAAAGCCAATAATAACCCAACAAAAAGCTGCAGTAAGAATAATCACTAACTCCCATCCCTGGCAACACACCCCCCCACACTCTTCATAGACCTAAACTTACTCCCTGTTCAGTACATCCACACTTACTACTGTGCAGTCTACATCTACAGGACCTTAAACTCCAATATCAACCTTGACCTAAAACGCTTTCTTGATAGTTGTGACAGAACCCACAGGCATAACACCAGACACAAACATCTCTACAACATTCCCCGTGTCCGACTAAACCTTTACAAAAATTCAATGTATGTCAAAGGCCCTAAAATCTGGAATACCCTACCTGAGAACTCTAGAACTGCAGACACATTCATCACCTTCAAAACTATTATTTTTTTTTTATTATCACACTGGCCGATTCCCACCAAGGCAGGGTGGCCCAAAAAAGAAAAACTTTCAACATCATTCACTCCATCACTGTCTTGCCAGAAGGGTGCTTTACACTACAGTTTTTAAACTGCAACATTAACACCCCTCCTTCAGAGTGCAGGCACTGTACTTCCCATCTCCAGGACTCAAGTCCGGCCTGCCGGTTTCCCTGAACCCCTTCATAAATGTTACTTTGCTCACACTCCAACAGCACGTCAAGTATTAAAAACCATTTGTTTCCATTCACTCCTATCAAACACGCTCATGCATGCCTGCTGGAAGTCCAAGCCCCTCGCACACAAAACCTCCTTTACCCCCTCTCTCCAACCTTTCCTAGGCCGACCCCTACCCCGCCTTCCTTCCACTACAGACTGATACACTCTTGAAGTCATTGTAGATAGCCTGTACTGTCTGCACAGACAGCCCATGCTGTCTGCCAGCTTAGTTCATATTTCGCGCCACTCAGGTGCTGCCATCTATAGGCCTTGCCACTTCAGTATGCCCAGACTTGCCTCGCTCTCACTCACACAGCGGCCTGGCATCAACACACAAGTACTCCCAGCTCTCTCTCGTGGGCATGGCCCTCCCGGGCCATGGGCTCAAACACACAAGCCTGTGTAACCCAACACTAGTTATCAATAAACAAAGAAGCCTCCGAAGACGTATATCATTCACACCCCGCTAGCACCTACCAAATAACCCCGTCATCATTCTGTTTCGCTCCATTCTCTCTACATGTCCGAACCACCTCAACAACCCTTCCTCAGCCCTCTGGACAACAGTTTTGGTAATCCCGCACCTCCTCCTAACTTCCAAACTACGAATTCTCTGCATTATATTCACACCACACATTGCCCTCAGACATGACATCTCCACTGCCTCCAGTCTTCTCCTCGCTGCAACATTCATCACCCATGCCTCACACCCATATAAGAGCGTTGGTAAAACTATACTCTCATACATTCCCCTCTTTGCCTCCAAGGACAAAGTTCTTTGTCTCCACAGACTCCTAAGTGCACCACTCACTCTTTTCCCCTCATCAATTCTATGATTCACCTCATCTTTCATAGACCCATCCGCTGACACGTCCACTCCCATTAGAAAACATCTTATCTCCCTGATACACCCCGTCAACTAACTACACGAATACCACCTGGTGGTTCACACTTACACTCACTCACTCATTTGACCATAAACAGAAATATTAATCTCAATCTTAAAATAATGAATCCTGTGATACTCCAATACTGAAACTATGTACTGTGCCAAAACAAAAGCATTCACATTGCTAAACTCACAAACTAGTATTTAGTCACTTAGCCATAATACCAACTTACCTCATAATTTGTAATATTTTACAATTAAGAATAAAACTAAGTCTGCCCGAAATGCCTAGCCATGCTAAGCGTTCTAGTGGTACACTCTGTAATCACTATTTTACTACATGTAAACCACACAATAACCAAATTTCTGTAAACTCAGCATTGTAATCCTTATAGAGAATAAACTTTGAATTTGAATTTGAATTTGATAGCACTAACATCCCATATCATAAAAATCTTTGAAATGGTCCTAAGAAGCAAGATCACCACCCATCTAGAAACCCATCAGTTACACAACCCAGGGCAACATGGGTTTAGAACAGGTCGCTCCTGTCTCAACTATTGGATCACTACGACAAGGTCCTAGATGCACTCGAAGACAAAAAGAATGGAGATGTAATATATACAGACTTTGCAAAAGCCTTCGACAAGTGTGACCATGGCGTAATAGCGCACAAAATGCGTGCTAAAGGAATAACAGGAAAAGTCGGTCGATGGATCTATAATTTCCTCACTAACAGAACACAGAGAGTAGTCGTCAACAGAGTAAAGTCCGAGGCAGCAACGGTGAAAAGCTCTGTTCCACAAGGCACAGTACTCGCTCCCATCTTGTTCCTCATCCTCATATCTGACATAGACAAGGATGTCAGCCACAGCACCGTGTCTTCCTTTGCAGATGACACCCGAATCTGCATGACAGTGTCTTCCATTGCAGACACTGCAAGGCTCCAGGCGGACATCAACCAATCTTTCAGTGGGCTGCAGAAAACAATATGAAGTTCAACGATGAGAAATTTCAATTACTCAGATATGGTAAACACGAGGAAATTAAATCTTCATCAGAGTACAAAACAAATTCTGGCCACAAAATAGAGCGAAACACCAACGTCAAAGACCTGGGAGTGATCATGTCGGAGGATCTCACCTTCAAGGACCATAACATTGTATCAATCGCATCTGCTAGAAAAATGACAGGATGGATAATGAGAACCTTCAAAACTAGGGAGGCCAAGCCCATGATGACACTCTTCAGGTCACTTGTTTTATCTAGGCTGGAATATTGCTGCACACTAGCAGCACCTTTCAAGGCAGGTGAAATTGCTGACCTAGAAAATGTACAGAGAACCTTCACGGCGCGCATAACGGAGATAAAACACCTCAATTACTGGGAGCGCTTGAGGTTCCTAAACCTGTATTCCCTGGAATGCAGGCGGGAGAGATACATGATTATATACACCTGGAAAATCCTAGAGGGACTAGTACCGAACTTGCACACGAAAATCACTCACTACGAAAGCAAAAGACTTGGCACACGATGCAACATCCCCCCAATGAAAAGCAGGGGTGTCACTAGCACGTTAAGAGACCATACAATAAGTGTCAGGGGCCCGAAACTGTTCAACTGCCTCCCAGCATACATAAGGGGGATTACCAACAGACCCCTGGCAGTCTTCAAGCTGGCACTGGACAAGCACCTAAAGTCGGTTCCTGACCAGCCGGGCTGTGGCTCGTACGTTGGTTTGCGTGCAGCCAGCAGTAACAGCCTGGTTAATCAGGCTCTGATCCACTAGGAGGCCTGGTCACAGACCGGGCCGCTTGGGCGTTGACCCCCGGAACTATCTCCAGGTAAACTCCAGGTAATATTTATGAATTTATAATCACTGGTTATATAACCGAGGTATATAGCTGTTTATATTATTGTGACCACGAACGAGTGATATTGAATGAATAACAAAACTGCGACTAGCCAAGGATTCGAACCCATGTCGTTTTGGCCCTGCCTCGTGGTCAGCGAAAAATCACATGACACCTTAACCCACTGGACCACACATAGCTTTTTATATGTTTTTTTTTATTATTATACGGCTTCTTGGGAAGGTGAAGTAATCAGGAGTAATTTAGGTACACGTACACATCAGTACAATTATCATACATGGTGTAAATTACGTAGAATAAGTGGATAATCATTGGGGAAGTGGAACAGAATTCTTCCTTCGTAAGTCATGCGTGTCGTAAGAGGCGACTAAAATGTCGGGAGCAAGTGGCTAGTGACCCCTTCTCCTGTATACATTACTAAATCTAAAAAGAAAAGCGAAAGTTTTTCTTTTTGGGTCACCCTGCCTCGGTGGGATACGGCCGGTTCGTGGACAACTCAAAAAAAATGTCAAGAGAACCTTATTTCCATGACCCCTTCACCGGCATCAAGGCACCTCCAGTCCTCTCCCTTACCTGGCGATACTTTTTTTCCTGTTTGTTGATCTGTCTTTTCCTGTGGATGACGAAGGCAGCAAGCAGGAGCAGTGCTATCACCATCACTCCTCCCACCACTGCTATCACCACCACCAGAGTCACGTCCATCCTCTGCACCCCAGCCAGTGTTCTGCTCACAGAGTGCTCTGCTTTCTTTACATTCTGCTTAAACCAATAAATGTGTCAATGTTTATCTAAGAGGGCGTAGACGGGATATATGATCCCTTTCATTCCTGGAGGGGGATATATGATCCCTTTCATTCCTGGAGGGGGATATATGATCCCTTTCATTCCTGGAGGGGGATATATGATCCCTTTCATTCCTGGAGGGGGATATATGATCTCTTTCATTCCTGGAGGGGGATATATGATCTCTTTCATTCCTGGAGGGGGATATATGATCCCTTTCATTCTGGAGGGGGATATATGATCCCTTTCATTCTGGAGGGGGATATATGATCCCTTTCATTCCTGGAGGGGGATATATGATGTCTTTCATTCCTGGAGGGAGATATACGATTCCTTTCATTCCTGGAGGGGGATATACGATCCCTTTCATTCCTGGAGGGAGATATACGATTCCTTTCATTCCTGGAGGGAGATATACGATCCCTTTCATTCCTGGAGGGAGATATACGATCCCTTTCATTCCTGGAGGGAGATATACGATTCCTTTCATTCCTGGAGGGAGATATACGATTCCTTTCATTCCTGGAGGGAGATATACGATCCCTTTCATTCCTGGAGGGAGATATACGATCCCTTTCATTCCTGGAGGGGGATATACGATCCCTTTCATTCCTGGAGGGAGATATACGATTCCTTTCATTCCTGGAGGGAGATAAACGATTCCTTTCATTCCTGGAGGGAGATATACGATTCCTTTCATTCCTGGAGGGAGATATACGATTCCTTTCATTCCTGGAGGGAGATATACGATCCCTTTCATTCCTGGAGGGAGATATACGATCCCTTTCATTCCTGGAGGGAGATATACGATCCCTTTCATTCCTGGAGGGAGATATACGATTCCTTTCATTCCTGGAGGGAGATATACGATTCCTTTCATTCCTGGAGGGAGATATACGATCCCTTTCATTCCTGGAGGGAGATATACGATCCCTTTCATTCCTGGAGGGAGATATACGATTCCTTTCATTCCTGGAGGGAGATATACGATCCCTTTCATTCCTGGAGGGAGATATACGATCCCTTTCATTCCTGGAGGGAGATATACGATTCCTTTCATTCCTGGGGAGATATACGATCCCTTTCATTCCTGGAGGGGGATATACGATCCCTTTCATTCCTGGAGGGAGATATACGATCCCTTTCATTCCTGGAGGGGGATATACGATCCCTTTCATTCCTGGAGGGAGATATACGATCCCTTTCATTCCTGGAGGGAGATATACGATCCCTTTCATTCCTGGAGGGAGATATACGATCTGTTTGTGTGTGGAAAAACACACTATGTTTGTGACTTGATGAAGTCCAGTGTGGGAGAAACGTTGTCAATAATGGATCACATTATACTGCATGTGTTTATATTTCCAACCATTACCTCTTTGTCTCTTTCTCAAAATTATTCACCTAAATTAATCTCCCTTTAAATCCACCCTATTCGAATCGACTCCATGAAATCTATTTCGACTTTACAGTATCCCGTAGCTGTGTTGGTAGCGCACTCAGCTCACACACTGTGGTCCGTGATTCGATCTCCGGTACGAGTGGAAACATTAGAAAGTGTCTCCTTAAGACACCTGCTATCCCTGTTCACCTAGCAGTAAAATAGGTACCTGGGTGTTAGTGGACTGGTGTGGGTCGCATCCTGGGGACAAATTTGATCTAATTTGCCCTAAATACTCTGTATAACCTGCAGCTTTCTGTACAGTATCATGATATTAATGTCAGCTATGGTCTGTATAAGTTATATCATATACTTGTAGAAATAAAGATTATTATTATTATTATTATTATTATTATTATTATTATTATTATTATTATTATTATTATTAATTACCATTTAGCAAGAAGGTATTCCGATATAAACATGATGTATAGTGGAACACACAGTGACGATCATAGAAACACTAAGTGGAACACACAGTGACGATCATAGAAACACTAAGTGGAACATACAGTGACGATCATAGAAACACTAAGTGGAACATACAGTGACGATCATAGAAACACTAAGTGGAACACACAGTGACGATCACAGAAACACTAAGTGGAACACACTGACGATCACAGAAACACTAAGTGGAACACACAGTGACGATCATAGAAAACACTAAGTGGAACACACAGTGACGATCATAGAAACACTAAGTGGAACACACAGTGACGATCATAGAAACACTAAGTGGAACACACAGTGACGATCATAGAAACACTAAGTGGAACACACAGTGACGATCATAGAAACACTAAGTGGAACACACAGTGACGATCACAGAAACACTAAGTGGAACACACAGTGACGATCACAGAAAGACTAAGTGGAACACAGTGACGATCACAGAAAACACTAAGTGGAACACACAGTGACGATCACAGAAACACTAAGTGGAACACACAGTGACGATCACAGAAACACTAAGTGGAACACAGTGACGATCACAGAAACACTAAGTGGAACACAGTGACGATCACAGAAACACTAAGTGGAACACACAGTGACGATCACAGAAACACTAAGTGGAACACAGTGACGATCACAGAAACACTAAGTGGAACACACAGTGACGATCACAGAAACACTAAGTGGAACACAGTGACGATCACAGAAACACTAAGTGGAACACACAGTGACGATCACAGAAACACTAAGTGGAACACACAGTGACGATCACAGAAACACTAAGTGGAACACAGTGACGATCACAGAAACACTAAGTGGAACACAGTGACGATCACAGAAACACTAAGTGGAACACACAGTGACGATCACAGAAACACTAAGTGGAACACAGTGACGATCACAGAAACACTAAGTGGAACACACAGTGACGATCACAGAAACACTAAGTGGAACACAGTGACGATCACAGAAACACTAAGTGGAACACACAGTGACGATCACAGAAACACTAGTGGAACACAGTGACGATCACAGAAACACTAAGTGGAACACACAGTGACGATCACAGAAACACTAGTGGAACCACAGTGACGATCACAGAAACACTAAGTGGAACACAGTGACGATCACAGAAACACTAAGTGGAACACAGTGACGATCACAGAAACACTAAGTGGAACACAGTGACGATCACAGAAACACTAAGTGGAACACAGTGACGATCACAGAAACACTAAGTGGAACACAGTGACGATCACAGAAACACAACAACACAATATTGTCAAGCAATTTACAACAGTGGAGGAAAAATAATGTACGACTTAAAATAACAATGCTTGTACAGGAGGATAACACCGTGTGCTCCATCAAATAAATTCTTGTTTCTACAAGACTTTCCTCACCATCTCTAAGTTTTGCAGGTCAGACGAGAGGACGTTCTTATTTAGGATTTCGACTAGGCTCGGGTCTGCCTCCACCTCCGAACGACGTCCTCCAGCTCCTCCGAGTGCGTCTGCAGGTCCTCGAGTTGTCCCTTGGACACCTGGCCCTTAGAGATCTCCTGCGTCGTCTGGTGGATGTTGCCCATGACGTCTGTGAGACGTCTACAGATTTTATTCTCGTTCTGGGGGTCCCTAATGTTGCAGAAGCCTTCTGAAGTGATAGTTGATGCTTCAGGAAGTGACAGACTCCGTCTAACTCGCTCTAGTCTTGAAGACCTTGACGGGCGATACCGGTTCTTTATACGTTCGCGTCCAACGTCCGCCTTTGTCCCAAAGGACATCATTGCTTCAGCGTATGACTCTTCTGAAGTATTTTCATGAAGTGTAACCATGTCTACATTATCCGCAAATGCCTGAAACAATAAATTTTCAGCCTGTGCTTCGAAAACTGCGTCATGGCTCAGTTCTTGACGTTCACTATCAAACAGCTCGATTTCAGGTGAATCTTTTCTTGAATCACCTGAATTCCTTTCCTTGTATACCTGAATGTCTGAATCTCGTCCTGAATCAGGCAGATCTGCCGCTCTTTTTGTATGAGAGGATTTTCTTTCCATTTCAGGAGAAGTGGATGTTTCAGTAGTTTCAGTAGCTGTATCCGTGGTTTCAGTGGTTTCAATGTCCGTGCGAGTGGCTTCAGTGGGTGTATTAGTGGTTTCAGTGTCTGTATGAGCGGTTTCAGTGGCTGTTTGAGTGACTTCAGTGGGTGTATGAGTGGTTTCAGTGACTTTATGAATGGTTTCAGTGTCTGAATGAGTGGTTTCAGTGGGTATATTAGTGGTTTCAGTGTCTGAATGAGTGGTTTCAGTGGCTGTTTGAGGGACTTCAGTGGGTGTATGAACGGTTTCAGTGGATGTATCAATAATTTCGGCAGATGTTTCAGTGGGAGTATCAGCGGTTGAAGTGGGTGTATTTGTGGTTTCATCAGAGGTTTCACCAGGTGTTTCAGTGGACACGTCAGTGGTTTGAGTAGATACTTCAGCTCTTTCAGTGGGAGAATTAGTAAATATACCAGCAGTTTCCGTGGTTTCAATGGATGCACCAGTGGTTTCAGTGAAGGTATCAGCTGATGCATCAATGGAGGTGTCAGTGGCTTCAGTGGATACGTCAGTGGTTTCAGTAGATGCGTCAGTGATTTCAGTGGATATGTCAGTGGTTTTAGTGAATACGTCAGTGGTTTCAGTGGATACGTCAGTGGTTTCAGTTATATCAGTGGTTTCAGTGGATACGTCAGTGGTTTCGGTAGATGCGTCAGTGATTTCAGTGGATATGTCAGTGGTTTCAGTGGATACGTCAGTGGTTTCAGTTATATAAGTGGCTTCAGTGGATACGTCAGTGGTTTCAGTAGATGCGTCAGTGATTTCAGTGGATATGTCAGTAGTTTCAGTGGATACGTCAGTGGTTTCAGTTATATCAGGGGTTTCAGTGGATATGTCAGTGGTTTCAGTAAATGCGTCAGTGGTTTCATTCGATATGTCAGTGGTTTCAGTTGTATCAGTGATTTCAGTGGATACGTCAGTGGTTTCAGCAGATACGTCTGTGGTTTCAGCGGATGCGTCAGTGGATACGTCAGTGGTTTCAGTTATATCAGTGGTTTCAATGGATACATCAGTGGTTTCAGTTATATCAGTGGATACGTCAGTGATTTCAGTAGATGCGTCAGTGGTTTCAGCAGATACGTCTGTGGTTTCAGTGGATACGTCAGTGGTTTCAGTGGATACGTCAGTGCTTTCAGTGGATACGTCAGTGATTTCAGTAGATGCGTCAGTGGTTTCATTGGATATGTCAGTGGTTTCAGTTACATCAGCGGTTTCAGTAGACATGTCAGTAGTTTCAGTGATATAAATGGTTTCAGTGATATCAGTGGTTTCAGTAGATACGTCAGTGGTTTCAGTAGATACATCAACGGTTTCAGTCGATGTATAACTGCTTTCGGTGGAGGCATCAGTGACTTCAGCCTTTTCAGTGGATGTCGCGCTAATTTCAGTGGATCTATCAGAGGTTTCAATGATCGTATAAGTGGTTTCAGTGGGTATATCAGTGGTTTCACTTGGTGTTCCAGTGGGTGCATCACTAATTTCAGTGGTTTCGGAGGTTGTGTTAGTGGCTTCAGTGGGCGTATCAGTGGTTTCAATGGGTGTATAAGTGGTTTCAGTGGGTGTATCAGTGGTTTCAATGGGTGTATAAGTGGCTTCAGTGGGTGTATCAGTGGTTTCAGTGGGTATGTGAGTGGTTTCAGTGGGTATATCAGTGGGTGTATCAGTGGTTTCAGTGGGTGTATCAGTGGTTTCAGTGGGTTTATCAGTGCCTTCAGTGGGTGTATCAGTGATTTCACTGGGCACATCAGTGGTTTCAGTGTATCTCTCAGTGGTTTTAGTGGGTGTATCAGTGGTTTCAGTGGGCATATGAGTGGCTTCAGTGGATGTGTGGGTGGCTACACTAGTGGTTTGTGGGTTTACCACTTGCATCAGCCGCTTCAGGAAGTTCTCGATGTTATTCAGTTCTTCCTGTATCCCCTGAAGCAATTCTTCATCCGTCATTGCCGAGTCTGAGGGTAACAGACAGAACACGAGGTGAACATAATGTGAACACAGGCTGAACACGAGGCGAACACGAGATAAACATGAGGTGAACACTGGCTTAGCACAAAATGAACATGAGATGAACACAGGCTGAAGACGAGGTAGACAGTTTGAACACGAGGTGACTGAACACAGGAAGAGTATAAGGTGAACACATGGAGAACAGAATGTGAACACGAGGTGAACGCAGACAAGACAACAATGTGACAAGGTGAACACAAGCAGGACACGATGCGAACAAGGGTGAAAAGCTGAACTTGATACGAACACGAGATGAACAGATGCACAACACACGATGTGAAAATCGAAACACACACACGTGCTGAACACGACATGAACACAACATGAACAATACAAGTACTAACCTAGTACTATACAGTTTAAGACCTCCATCGAATTCACCCTTTGTATCCATTTTTAAAATATAAGCAAGCCATCCATAACCCGGAAAATAATTTATTTCCCAGCAAATTTTTCTGGAGGGAAAGGAATAGGGAAGATATTAGCTACAAAATAATTTTAAGTGGAGGTTGAATGTACCTGGTAAAATATACGTTGAAGGGGAGTCAGCCAATCAGCGGAACTAGAGAAGTAAACAGTTCCAACAATATTAACAGCAGAACAATGTCTCCCAAAATTAATGGCCTTTTTTATTTTTTTTTAAATAGACCGTTTTTACTTAAAAAATTGATTTTTATACTTAAAAATGTTTTTATAACTTAAAAATGTTATTTTAGATTAAAAATAGGCCTTTGTTTTACTTAAAAAATTATTTTTTGTTTATTCTCGAGTCAAAATACCCCTCATTTTTTTTACAGTGCACAAACCAACATTACAATTATAAATTTTCATGAAAACTCGGTGGAAATCTTAAACTAAATATTTACCACATTTTCTTATTTTAGTTTTATGATAAAAACACATTTGGATACAATTCTAACAAATAATTGTTACCTGTGTGTGTGTCAATGTTTTGTGTAGTGACGGTGGGAATGATGAAGAAATGAAGGATGAGAATTACCATCTTGGCCGAGTATATTTTGTCTTCCATGGCTCGTCAACCTGAAAAGGAAATGGTTATAATGGCAACTTTAATTTAAAAAAATAAGGTGGAGGGGTAAGCCAGCGGAAGGCCTCGATCAGATGACCAAAAGTTCCAGCTGTGGGTCATAAGACCCGCTTTAAGTTGCACTTGTCCTGTTTCCTGACAAATCTTACTTAACCCAAGTTGAAAAGGAACCCAAACCCCGTGGCCTGGCTGGCTAAAGCTCTCGCTTCACACACACGGATGGCCCGGGTTCGATTCCAGGCGGGGTGGAAACATTTCGATGCGTTTCCTTACATCTGTTGTCCTGTTCACCTAGCAGCAAACAGGTACCTGGGTGTTAGTCGACTGGTGTGGGTGGCATCCTGGGGGACAAGATAGAGGAAAACAATGGAAATAAGACAAGACAGTCATCGATGACCCACTGACTTTAATAGATTATCCTGGATGACTAACCCTCCGTGGTTAAAAATCCCAAAATCTTATCTTAATATGTGCTGGAATGCGATACAGAGACAATTCACTCAGAAATGTTCAAGAAATGTCGAAGTATTTTATCCAAAGTGGTATATTACCAGCCATTTTGGAAAGGTACCCTGACTTGGCCCACTGTAAATAACCCATAACCACTTAAACTTTATTTGTGTGTGACCTAATTCATGTCTGCATAGATAACTCATTACTATTGTGACCTGATATAAACATGTTTACCTGGAGTTTACCTGGAGAGAGTTCCGGGGGTCAACGCCCCTGCGGCCCGGTCTGTGACCAGGCCTCCTGGTGGATCAGAGACTGATCAACCAGGCTGTTGCTGCTTGCTGCACGCAAACCAACGTACGAGCCACAGCCCGGCTGATCAGGAACCGACTTTAGGTGCTTGTCCAGTGCCAGCTTGAAGACTGCCAGGGGTCCGTTGGTAATCTCCCTTATGTATGCTGGGAGGCAGTTGAACAGTCTCGGGCCCCTGACACTTATTGTATGGTCTCTTAACGTGCTAGTGACACCCCTGCTTTTCATTGGGGGGATGTTGCATCGTCTGCCAAGTCTTTTGCTTTCGTAGTGAGTGATTTTCGTGTGCAAGTTCGGTACTAGTCCCTCTAGGATTTTCCAGGTGTATATAATCATGTATCTCTCCCGCCTGCATTCCAGGGAATACAGGTTTAGGAACCTCAAGCGCTCCCAGTAATTGAGGTGTTTTATCTCCGTTATGCGCGCCATGAAGGTTCTCTGTACATTTTCTAGGTCGGCAATTTCACCTGCCTTGAAAGGTGCTGTTAGTGTGCAGCAATATTCCAGCCTAGATAGAACAAGTGACCTGAAGAGTGTCATCATGGGCTTGGCCTCCCTAGTTTTGAAGGTTCTCATTATCCATCCTGTCATTTTTCTAGCAGATGCGATTGATACAATGTTATGATCCTTGAAGGTGAGATCCTCCGACATGATCACTCCCAGGTCTTTGACGTTGATGTTTCGCTCTATTTTGTGGCCAGAATTTGTTTTGTACTCTGATGAAGATTTAATTTCCTCATGTTTACCATATCTGAGTAATTGAAATTTCTCATCGTTGAACTTCACATTGTTTTCTGCAGCCCACTGAAAGATTTGGTTGATGTCCGCCTGGAGCCTTGCAGTGTCTGCAATGGAAGACACTGTCATGCAGATTCGGGTGTCATCTGCAAAGGAAGACACGGTGCTGTGGCTGACATCCTTGTCTATGTCGGATATGAGGATGAGGAACAAGATGGGAGCGAGTACTGTGCCTTGTGGAACAGAGCTTTTCACCGTAGCTGCCTCGGACTTTACTCTGTTGACGACTACTCTCTGTGTTCTGTTAGTGAGGAAATTATAGATCCATCGACCGACTTTTCCTGTTATTCCTTTAGCACGCATTTTGTGCGCTATTACGCCATGGTCACACTTGTCGAAGGCTTTTGCAAAGTCTGTATATATTACATCTGCATTCTTTTTGTCTTCGAGTGCATTTTGGACCTTGTCGTAGTGATCCAATAGTTGAGACAGACAGGAGCGATCTGTTCTAAAACCATGTTGCCCTGGGTTGTGTAACTGATGGGTTTCTAGATGGGTGGTGATCTTGCTTCTTAGGACCCTTTCAAAGATTTTTATGATATGGGATGTTAGTGCTATTGGTCTGTAGTTCTTTGCTGTTGCTTTACTGCCCCCTTTGTGGAGTGGGGCTATGTCTGTTGTTTTTAGTAACTGTGGGACGACCCCCGTGTCCATGCTCCCTCTCCATAGGATGGAAAAGGCTCGTGATAGGGGCTTCTTGCAGTTCTTGATGAACACAGAGTTCCATGAGTCTGGCCCTGGAGCAGAGTGCATGGGCATGTCATTTATCGCCTGTTCGAAGTCATTTGGCGTCAGGATAACATCGGACAGGCTTGTGTTAATCAAATTTTGTGGCTCTCTCATAAAAAATTCATTTTGATCTTCGACTCTCAGTCTGGTTAGCGGCTTGCTAAAAACTGAGTCATATTGGGACTTGAGTAGCTCACTCATTTCCTTGCTGTCATCTGTGTAGGACCCATCTTGTTTAAATAGGGGCCCAATACTGGACGTTGTTCTCGACTTTGATTTGGCATAGGAGAAGAAATACTTTGGGTTTCTTTCGATTTTATTTATGGCTTTTAGTTCTTCCCGCGATTCCTGACTCCTATAAGATTCCTTTAGCTTATGTTCGATGCTTGCTATTTCTCTGACCAGTGTCTCCCTACGCATTTCATATATATTGACCTCTTTTAGCCGCTCTGTTATTCTTTTCCGTCGCCTGTAAAGGGAGCACCTGTCTCTTTCTATTTTACATCTACTCCTCCTTTTTCTTAGAGGAATAAGCCTTGTGCATACATCGAGTGCCACCGAGTTAATCTGTTCTAGGCATAAGTTTGGGTCTGTGTTGCTTAGTATATCTTCCCAGCTTGCTCATTACCACTGTAACTTGTTCATTACCACTGTAATTTGTTCATTACAACTGTAACTTGTTCATTACCACTGTAACTTGTTCATTACCACTGTAATTTGTTCATTACAACTGTAACTTGTTCATTACAACTGTAACTTGTTCATTACCACTGTAATTTGTTCATTACAACTGTAACTTGTTCATTACCACTGTAACTTGCTCATTACCACTGTAACTTGTTCATTACCACTGTAACTTGTTCATTACCACTGTAACTTGTTCATTACCACTGTAACTTGTTCATTACCACTGTAACTTGTTTATTACCACTGTAACTTGTTCATTACCACTGTAACTTGTTCATTACAACTGTAACTTGTTAATTACAACTGTAACTTGTTCATTACCACTGTAACTTGTTCATTACCACTGTAACTTGTTCATTACCACTGTAACTTGTTCATTACCACTGTAACTTGTTCATTACCACTGTAACTTGCTCATTACCATTGTAACTTGTTCATTACCATTGTAACTTGCTCATTACCACTGTAACTTGTTCATTACAACTGTAACTTGTTCATTACCACTGTAACTTGTTCATTACCACTGTAACTTGCTCATTACCATTGTAACTTGTTCATTACCACTGTAACTTGCTCATTACCACTGTAACTTGCTCATTACCATTGTAACTTGCTCATTACCACTGTAACTTGTTCATTACCACTGTAACTTGCTCATTACCATTGTAACTTGTTCATTGCCACTGTAACTTGTTCATTACCATTGTAACTTGTTCATTACCACTGTAACTTGCTCATTACCACTGTAACTTGCTCATTACCACTGTAACTTGTTCATTACCACTGTAACTTGTTCATTACCATTGTAACTTGTTCAATACCACTGTAACTTGTTCATTACCATTGTAACTTGCTCATTACCATTGTAACTTGCTCATTACCACTGTAACTTGCTCATTACCACTGTAACTTGTTCATTACCACTGTAACTTGTTCATTACCATTGTAACTTGTTCATTACCACTGTAACTTGTTCATTACCACTGTAACTTGTTCATTACCACTGTAACTTGTTCATTACCACTGTAACTTGTTCATTATCATTGTAACTTGCTCATTACCACTGTAACTTGTTCATTACCACTGTAACTTGTTCATTACCACTGTAACTTGCTCATTACCACTGTAACTTGTTCAATTATCAAAACTTTGCAGCCCAGTTCCTGAGCCCATTATGTGTCTCTATAATGTTGAGGTACAGTTCCCGGACCCATCCTGTTAGTTTAATATCTTATTATGCACCCCATAAGCATCCTGTGACTGATGGGTCCAAAACAGGTATATATAATAGGCCCAGAAACTGGACCCCAAAGTTTTGATAGCTAAACAGGCTACAGTAATATTGAACTATTTACATATTTGGTTACAATCCTAATTATTTATGTAGTTTCTAGTTACTGCATTTATATTGCCTTATATTTTAGCAAGATATTGTTGAATTTAAACAAGTTTAAGTGGTTGTTCGTTTTTTTGCAATAGGAAAAAATCAGGGTGTTTTTCTACAAATACAGATAATTTATTTATTTTCTGCAGTTGGTTTAGAAAGACACGTAAGCAAACACTATAACATATTTATTAGAAAACGTTTCGGTCCTGGAACCTTGATCACTTCTAACATACAGAGGTAAGAAGACATTATATATAGGCGGAGAGTGAGGTGTGACGCACTCTCCGCCTATATATAATGTCTTTCTACCTCTGTATGTTAGAAGTGATCAAGGTTCCAGGACCGAAACGTTTTCTAATATGTTATAGTGTTTGCTTACGTGTCTTTCTAAACCAACTTGTCGGTATTTATTACCAAGGTTTATTTCATTTTCTGCAGTATACAGGTAATGTAGTTTACATGTAATAAAATATCATTAGGCACTAAAAAAGCCACTAGTATGTGGTGCATTTTGGGCAGAATGGAGAGTAAAAAGTTACTAATGTTGATAAAATACTCTCACATTTATTGAACATTTGCGAGTTGTCTCTGAATTCATTAATTTTATCACATTCCAGCGCATAATGT